TTTGACTGAAAGAGAAACATTATAAAATATTGGTTAATAGATGGACAAGTAAAAGAGATACTGCCATTTTTTGACAATATAGTGCAGCCTAGAAAACATTATATTGTAACCAACATTGTGGCATTGTGGCACAGCAGGTTAAGCCACCATATATCATGTCAGCAGCTCATATTTGGGCATTGGTTTGAGTCCTACCTGCTCCTCTTTTGACAGCTCTCTGCTCGATCACCTAGGAAAACAACAGCTACCACCGACACGGGGGCTCAGCTTGAATTCCTGGCTTCTGGCTGCCGCTTGGCCCAGCTCTGACCATTGTGACCATTTGGGGAGTGAACCTACGGGTGGAAGATCTCTCTCCCTCTGTCTCTCCTTCTCTTTGTGTCACTCTGCCTTTCAAATAAATAAAATAAATCTTGGAAAAAAAAAACATTAAAAGTGAAACAATCCAGATACAGAACGAAAAATACTCCATGATCTCAATTATATCTGGACTCTTTAAAAGAAAAATCAAAGAAAGACACAACAGTGGTTTTCTTTAAAAGAAAATTTTATTTAAAATTTTTATGTAAAAAATTAAGATAGAACAGTGGTTACCAGGAGGAGAAATAAGAATACACAGATCAAAAGGTACAAAGTTGCTTTTATGTAAGATAAATTAGTCTAGAGATCTAAGGTGTGGCATGAGAACCAAAATTAGTATTATACTTTATACTGGAAATTTGCTGTAAGAGTAGATTTCAGGTGCTCTTATCACACATACAGAAGGTAATGGTGTAGATGATGGATATGTTTATTTATTCCTTCTAATATGTATACAAAAAGATCATATTGCATACCTTAAATATACACAACAAAAAGTCGATAAATTTCTTTTTGTTACACAAGTAAAAATGAGTCAAATAAACTTATATTAAAATTTCAAAATGAGTGCCCAGTAGCCGTGTGACCTTCACTAAGGCACTTAATCTCTATTTGCTTTGGTTCTATCACTGTAAAATGAGAATAAGGCAAACAGTTCCACAAATAGATGTGGAGATTCACTGAAGTAAAGTGTTCAGGAGAGTGTTTGGCATCAATTCTTTACAGCATTTTGTTCATCCAGTCCCCATATTTAAAATCATTTTGATTTCTGCTTCTCACAATGGTTGGCAAATTTGTCTTATGCCTGCCTTCTGGTAAAAACAACTAGAAAAGTGGGGAGAAACTATTTTTTAAAACTTCTCTTGGGGTTGGCACTGTGGCGTAGCAGGGAAAGCTGCTGCCTGCAGTGCTGGCATCCCTAATGGGCACTGGTTTGAGTCCCGGCTACTGTATTTCCAATCCAGCTCTCTGCCACGGCCTGGGAAAGCAGTAGAAAATGGCGCAAGTGCTTGGGCCCTTGCACCTTCGCGGGAGACCTGGAAGAAGCTCCTGGCTCCTGTCTTGGGATCGGTGCAGTTCTGACTGTTGCAGTCACCTGGGGAGTGAACCAGTGGATGGAAGACCTCTCTCTCTCTCTCTCTGCCTCTGCCTCTGCCTCTCTGTAACTCTGCCTTTCAAATAAATGAATAAATAAATAAATAAATCTTCTCTGAAGACATTAGAGGGTTCTTGGTAAGGCAGTGATTCAGAAAAGATTAAAGAAGCCAGAAGAAACAAACCCGATATTTGGGCATTATTTTCCTTTTTTAGGTTTTACCTATTTTGCTTTATTTTTCTAAAATATTTTCAAGCTTTTTTTTTATTTATATGAAAGGCTGAATTACAGAGCCAGAGAGAAATAGAGAGAGATCTTCCATCCATTGTCCCAGTCCTCATATGGCTGAATGGCTGGGACAAGACCAGACCGAAATCAAGAGCCAGGAGCTACATCTGGGTCTCCCACGTGGGTACAGAAACTAGGGCCATCTTCTGCTACTTTCCTAGGCAGATTAGCAGGGAGCCAGAAGAGAAGTGAAATAGCTAGGATTCAAACAAGAGCCTATATGGGTTGCCTGTGTTTCAGGCAGCAACTTTACCATCTGTGCTACAACACTGACCCCAGGTTTTACCAATTTTAAATTTAAAAAATAGTATTTAAGAGACTCAAAAACTGTAAGAGATTTTAGCTCTCTCACTGACTTGGAGGAGAATATCTGAGTGGACTTAACAGTGAGGAGGAGCTCTGGTAAACACTCCCAGGCTTTTAGCTGCTTTCTCTGATGGTCCCACCCTTAGAGCAAGATTGAAGTGGAAATGGAACAGCCCTCCCACTGGACCAAAGCCCTTGCACTGGCTGGAGCCCCCCTAGTGACTGAAGCCTTGAATGTCTTATCCCTGGTTGGATTGAGGAGAAATATATCCTTAATCAAAAAATACATCCCTTCTGAGAGAAAGTTTTATTGCTCATAGACTCAAATTTTATTCACAATGGCTTACACTTAACCATAAATAACCAGATATATAGAAAATTTTTTATTACAAGACAAAAGTAAACAACAAAAAAGGAATACAGGGCATGTAGTTATTGAAGTAGTTAGACATGAATTTTAATACAGATATGATTGATATATTCAAAATATTAAATAATGAGATGGATTGCAGAACTCAGTGGATGAAGGTAACCACAAGTGAGAAATTAAAGAGGGGCTCGTGTCAGCACCCCAAATGGGCCCTGGTTCGTGTCCTGGCTGCTCCTCTTCTGATTCAGTTCTCTGCTTATGGCCTGGGAAAGCAGAAGATGGCCCAAGTGCTTGGGCCCCTGCACCCACATGGGAGATCCAGAGGAAACTCCTGGCTCCTGGCTTTGGATCAGCTTAGCTCCAAATGTTGTGGCCATTTGGGGAGTGAACTAGGGGATAGAAAACCTCTCTGTAACAAAACCTCTCTGTGACAAAATACCTTAGGCAGGTTAACTTTATGAAATAAAGGTTTGTTTTGGCTCACAGTTCTGGAGGCTCACAGTCTAAGATTGGGCCGTCCCATCTGTTTGGCCTGTGCTGATCTCCTTGGTGCTGGCAGAGTCCTGAGGTGGTACAGGAAATCACACAGCAAGGAACAGGAAGCAAACATATCTGTGTCTTTTAAACTGTGCAAGACATTAACATAGGCAAAGACTTCTTGGAAAAGAGCCCAGAAGCACAACCAATCAAAATAAAAATAGACAAATGGGATTAAATCAAGCTGAGAAGCTTTTGCACTGCAAAGGAAACACTCAGCAAAATTAAGAGAAAATATGTGTAAACTATGCAAATGATAAAGGATTAATATACAGAATCTATAAAGAGCTCAAGAAACTCAACAACAGCAAAACAAACAATCCAGTTAAAAATTGGCAAAGGACTTGAACAGGCATTTTTCAAAAGAGGAAATTCACATGGCCAACATGAAAAAATGCATGGGATCACTAGCCATCAGGGAAAACAAATCAAAAACACAATGAGGTTTCACCTCACTCAAGTGGGATTGGCTCTCACACAGAAATCAACAAAAAATGCTGGTGAGGATGTGGGGGAAAAGGTGCCTTAATCCACTGTTGGTAGGACTGTGAACAAGTACAGCCATTGTGGAAGACATTATGGAAATACCTTAGAAAGATGAAAATAAACATGCTGTATGACTCAACAATTCCACTCTGGGAATTTACCCAGACCAAAAGAAATCAGCAAACGAAAGAGTTATCTGTACCCCCATGTTCATTGCAGCTCAATTCAGAATAGCTAAGATAGGGCATCAACTAGATATCCATAAACTGATGACTGGATAAAGAAATTATGGTACATACACACTATGGAATATTACTCAGCTATAACAAAGAATAAAATCCTGTTTTTTGTATCAAGATTGATGCAGCTGGATATCATTATACTTAATGAAAGAAGCCAGTCCTAAAAGGACAAATACCATATATTTTCCCATTTTTTTCCTCTGGTAACTAGTAGAGTTCCAAAAATGTAATGTATATGAGTGAAATTGACATTTTGATATTTGATGATTGTTTACAGCCCTTGTCTCTACTGCTGAGGAACAATGTGGTTTTTTTTTTCATCATACGCTTTATTTAATGTAGAATTAATCTTATGAGTTTAAAGTAAGCTGAATTGAGATTGTAAAAAAAAGGAGAGGGAACATGGAGGAAGAAGGAGGAGGAAATGTGGGAGCATGGGTGGGATAGAGACTAAGTTGGGGAGCAATACTGTGTCCCTAAATCTATATATAATAAATACATGAAATTTGTCTACCTTATAAAAACCTTATATAAACATAATAACACTAATAGGATTCAAACAAGGAGGCTCCAGGATCACATCTTAATGCAATATAATTGCTTCCCCAAGGGCCATCTCCAAATACCATAGTTAGAATAAAATTGCATTCTCATAAGATCAAGTACCATTAACAGAATATTTTGGAGACTAAACTCCTGTGTAAGTTGTGGAGACAAAATTTCAATCCATAGTAAACCCAAACTGGAAACAATGCAAATATCCACTATCTGTAGATGGATTTAAAAATGTTGCTTTTATAAAATGGAATATCACATAGCAGAGTTGAGCAAACTTTCCTAGGGTAAAAGAAGTCATAGATAAGAGTAAATAAATGAGTCAATTTGTGTGGTTATATTTCTAGAAAAATTGCCAATCTCTGCCACATGCAAAGCAAACAAATTATTACTTCATGAAAGAAAGTGGAGGGACCTCACAAAAAGAAGGGAGACACAAAATAGTGTATATGGAAGGTGCAGGAAGAGATTGGAACAACCTTGATGGAAGTTTGTGGGATGTTAGTAATATTTTATTGAATGGCTTAGATGGATCCTAGAATGTGTTCACTTTGTGGTCACTCACTGTGCTGTGCAATTTGGTTTGTATACAATCATGTACATACATACATCTCAGCAAACAGTTGTCTTGAATAGTAATTATTTGAAAGCATTGAAAGATGACTCACAGACAAACCAAAGTTTGTTATCTTGCTTTGAACAAAGCAAGGAAAATATATTAGAAAATGCATTTTCATAGTGTACTTTACTTTCTGTATAGGATATTTGGCAAAATTGGGTGGCCATTTGCTGTTCAGAGATGAAATTGAAGTCATGTTTGAGGGTAAGTGCAGAGGTTATCCTGAAGTCTTTCTGCAAAGGTACAAATATATTCACTATTTGTGATTCTGGAGTGCCAGGATGGATGGAGGGTGTTAATGGTGGGTGAATATCAGGGAAATCAATGAAAGGACTGCATTAAGGGGCTTCTTTTTTTTTCCCTCTTTCTATTATTTTTACTTTCCCTCCCTGCTTCAGTCTCTATTTTCTCTTTTCATTGAAATATAAATATCATCTGGGAGACCTTGGAAACCACAAAAAGTTGAGGATTCATTCAATCATTCATCCAACAGTCATTGTTCCAGCTTCTCCTTGGGCCATGGGCATGTCTCTCTCTTAGCCACTACTACCTGCTCATGGTCACAATTACAAATAAGTGAGTTAGAAAATAGAGAAGTGGTCAGCAGTATTTCTTTTTTAAAAAATAAACCTCATTTTTAAAAGAATAACAGAACTATTGAACTGGAGATTTCCATACATCTCCTACCTATATATATATGGATAGCCACGCCTATTAACATCACCTCACATGTGTGAGAAAAGGGTAGATAGGCAGAAGATTAGATTCAACTCAGGATTATAATTTCTTAAAACTATGAGAAGAAGATGCCTTGAACTAAAGGTTTTTCTGTGATTACAGTTATTGAACGAGTGCTTCGGGATGAAGACCCTGTGATCAGGGAGTTGGCAGAAAGAACTCGTAGCATTTTCAAGGAAATTGCCCATGGAATGACCTCTTCAACTATTAAACAAAGCTTTAGAAGAGTGATTAAGTTCATCTATGTAAAAAAACTGAAGCCTCTTTACTATTATAATTGGCCCCAAGATGAAGAAGACAGCCCTACAGATATGAAAAATGGCAAGGAAGGCTGTGCAGAAGAGACTGAAGAAGGCATGATTTACAAAGAATTCAACAAAATTTAGGAGCATTACTTTTCTTTCCTTCTTGATTGCTTTAGTCTATTTGTAGATGCTTTCCTGAAGGATGCAAGAATATTCTGTCCCTTCTTAATTCTCTATTCAAATATAGAAATCTGAAAAATCTGGTGTCTCCCTTTTATTGACAGTGAACAGAAGTACTATTGCATCAAACCCACTAAGGCAATGGGAAAAAATAATCTCTCAATGTCTAAAGGGGATTGGTCCCAGCACCCCCAAGGATACCAAAACATGCAGGAACTCAGGTTCTTTATGTAAAATGACACAGTATTTGCACATATCCAATATAGCTTTCAATATACTTGATTTTTGAAATTATATTTATTTGAGAATGAGAGGCAGCGAGCTCCCATCCTCTGGTTCACTCCCCAAATGTCTGCAGCACAATGGATTGGGGTGGTGGTAGAGCAGAACCAGAAAACAGCAATGGAATCTAAAAGTGGTGGGTGGTAGGAACCCAATTACCTGAGCCATGGCTCCTGCTTCCAAGGTCTGCATTGGTGAGAAGCTGGAGTCAGGACCCAGAGCCAGAAATCAAACCAAAGTGGTCCAAAGGGGTACACAGGCATCTTAACCTCTAAGCTAAATGTCCATTCTTCTTCCCATAAAGTATTATATTTTTAAAGATTTATTTATTTATTTGAAAGCAGAGTGACATGGAGGGAGAAACACAGTAAGACAGAAATCTTCCATTCGCTGGCTCACTCCCCAGATGGCTACAACAACTGGTAGCACACCAGGCTGAAGGCAGGAGCTTGGAACTCCATCCAAGTCTTCCATGTAGGTGACAGGGGCTCAAGTATCTGGGCCATCTCTGCTCTCCCAGGCTCATTAACATGGAGCCAGATCAGAAGTAGAGCAACCAGGAATCAAATGAGCATCCATGGGCCGGCGCCGTGCCTCAATAGGCTAATCCTCCACCTAGCGGTGCAGGCACACCAGGTTCTAGTCCCAGTCGGGGTGCCGGATTCTGTCCCGGTTGCCCCTCTTCCAGGCCAGCTCTCTGCTATGGCCCGGGAGTGCAGTGGAGGATGGCCCAAGTGCTTGGGCCCTGCACCCCATGGGAGACCAGGAGAAGCACCTGGCTCCTGGCTTCAGAGCGCGGTGCACCCGCTGCAGCGTGCCAGCCATTGGAGGGTGAACCAACGGCAAAGGAAGACCTTTCTCTCTGTCTCTGTCTCTCTCTCACTGTTCACTCTGCCTGTAAAAAAATTTTAAAAAATTAAAAAAATAAATAAATAAAAAACAGCATCCATATGAGATGATGGTATTGCAGCATAACCCTCTGTGCCATAATGTCAATCCGTCTCAGATTTTAAATAATATTGAGATTATGTATGCTACTTAATACAAGTAAATGCTATGTAGATAATTGCTAAATTATATTGTTTAAGGAACAAGAAAATAAGTTTGTACTTGCTCAATGCATACGTGATTCTTTTTTCAAATATTTTCAATCTGTGATTGGCTTAAGCTATGAATGTGGGAGCCAAGAACATGGAGGATTGATTGTATAAGGAAATTGCCTGATGAGAAGCTCTTGGAACTTGATTCAGATTACAAGCGTCTATTGAGCATCTTCAAAGTGCCAGGCACTGTGCAAAACAGTGGAGAACTTTTGGATGATATAGACAAGGTTCCTGTCCTCAGCGTGGTGACAATTTAGTGACACAGACTGTGGTCACTTATATACTGCCTTGGGAGGAATAAAGGGGAAAGGGAAAGGGACACATACTCAAGCTGAGACACAAGAGAAGATTATGCTATGCTAATTGGCTTGAATTTTTTGAAACAAAGAATTCATAGTATATCTCACTGCTTTCCTGCAAGCAAACACAATGTCCTGGATTATAAATCCTTGTCAATGATCTTGTTTAAGGATGCTTATTTGTCTTTCAGTCCTCCCATCTTAACATCTACCTATCTCTGGATCCCACCTGAGCATAAGCTACTCCAACTTGAGTAAATTTGCAGTTAGACAAAAGCCTTTTTTCCTCTGTTGATTCAAGTGTGATGCCTTTATAAGGTATAGACCTGTATTTCACACAGATTTTCATTATGCTGCTGGATCATCTTTCTGGGTTGGGACAGCCATCCCACCTTCCCTCAGATTCTCCTCCAGCTTTTAGATTAGTTTCATGGATGAAGGACACCAGCTTTTCCTGCAGAACACCCACATCACCAGCATCAGTGTTGGAGCCAGTAAGGGACAGACAGTCATGAGCTTGTGGATTCTATATTGTACTTGCTCTCCTTACATCACACACCTTCCTTATCAACTGCCTGCCCTGTAGATTTTAAGCTCCAGCCTGAAATGTGAAGATAATAGTATTCAGAGACCAACTTGCTCCCACAATTGCACAATGTAAAAAAATATGATTCTGCTTCTGTAACTGAACCCTGAATGATATAGATGGAATGCCATTTGCAGTCCCTCTTTGATCAGGTTGGGTGGGCATTGCTTCTATGTTTTGCTAAGCTTTTATTAGATTATAGCACAATTATTTATTTCCTCTCCTCTGTCCCACAAAACTGAAGTTTCTTGAAAGCATGGTCATGTCTCATATCTGGTTGTGTACTCTGGGACTCAGTGCCTGATACTCAGTGTACACTTAATGAATACTTGCCCAAAGGAATGAAGTCTTAATAGAACGTAGCACCCTAATGCTTCAATAACAATTTTTACAACTGTAGGAGTTCTACTTAGTAATGAAAATTATGAAACAATGGTGTATTTTAAGTTGTTAATCCATATTATTTTATGTCACTTAGATGTCTCAGAGATTCCCTTACAAAATTGGGTCAAGTTTCTTTACCCATTTCCTAATTTAACAGGATACCTAAAGAGGTAGGCTGAATAATGACTTCCTGCAAAGATATCCAATCAATTCCTAATGCCCAGAATATGCAAATATGTTGCTTTTCATAGAAAAAAGAACTTGCAAATATCATTAAGCATCTTGAAATAGGAAGAATATCCTGGGTTATCCAAGTGGGCCCAGAATATCACAAGGATCTTTGTAAGAGTAAAGTGGGAGTTCAGAGAAGAAAGATATGTTTAACAATGGAGGTTGGGACCATGAGCCAAGGGATGCAACTCTGGAACTGAAAAAGGACAAAGAATTGGCTTCTCTCCTAGAGTTTCTACAAAGAGCCACGTCCTGTCAACACTTTGACTTCAGACCAATGAAACCCATTTTAGCTGTTTGACATCTAGAACTATAAGACAGCAAATTAGTGTTGCTTTAAGGTTCCAAATTTGTAGTAATTTGTTAGAGCAGCAAAAGGAATTTAATATTGCATTTCTTTAAAATAAAGTGAAATGAATCAAATCATACCCATCAAACAGTCATACAGCCATAAAATTATAAAATGAACCTTACACAAACTTAGAGATTACTGTAAAAGATACGATATTTATATCTGATTTGTTTTTCAAAATGCTTTAGGCCTCCCCACTACCAGGGATTTCTCCCTTACTACCAACCTGAAGAGTAACCTCATTCATCTCCTGGTTTTGTCTTTTCTTAATTCCTTCAATCACATCTTGCCTTCACTCCAATTTGCTTCATTTCCTCAGGATCTCAGTTGTTTTCACTTTATTTGGAAAGGTCCTTAACTCCCCCCAGATTGCAATTCCAAACTGGGCATGTAGATCTTCCATGTTCTCTAAAGACTGAAAGGCATCCCTCTAATACATTCCATCTTCTTTAGGAGACAGTTGTGGTGATGAACAGCAGCTTCCCCCTTATCACATGCCTATGTTACTCCCACTTGTTAAAATTATCGTAGACCTTACAGGTTTCCCAATTTTTGGTAGGGTTGAGATAAAATCAGTTAACATGGCTGTTGAGGGCCTGTGGGTTCTGGCCCAGAATCATGTGAAATCTGATGAGATGAACATCGCCCTGCTAAGCCTTGCTCCAGAGACACTGACCTCAACTCCACACTCCACCCTACATGATAAAGGCTACACTCAGGCTTTGTGTATGTCTGAAACACCCTTGCTTCCCTCTGAGCCAGTCAGTTCCTACCATACCTTAACAATTCAGATCAAAAGTTACATTCACCTGGGAGTCTCTTGGATCCTTATATACCTATGGAGCACTTACCACAATATTTAGGAAGAAAAACTACAAAGCAAATTAATAGGAAAATATGCATTTTAGATTGTTTCCTCTAATGTAATCCCATTGCTGAAGCATCAGCTCCATAAGGTTATGAATTGTGTTTGGTTAACTCATCTGTACATCCACAGGGTCATTGCAATGTTTAGTGCACAATTTAACTCATGGGTGAATGATTAAGTGAATAAACACAACACCAGATTTTCTGTTACTAAGTGGATAGATATGTTGAATGTAAATGGCCTAAACTCTCCAGTTAAAAGATGCAGACTGGCTGAATGGATTAAAAAGACAAGATCTATCTATTTTCTGCCTATAAGAAACACATCTCACCACAAAAGATACACATAAACTGAAAGTGAAAGGATGGAAAAAGATATCCCAAACTGATGGCAAGCAAAAAAGTGTAGGTTTAGACATCCTAATATCAGACAAAATAAACTTTAACTCAAAAACCATTAAAAGAGACAGAGAAGGGCACTGTGTAATGATTACACGATCAATTCAACAGGAAGATGTGACTATAATAAACATATATGCACCCAATTACAGGATGCCTGCCTATTTAAAAGAATTGTTAATGGATCTAAAGGGAAACACAGCCTTCAATACAATAGCAATGGGGGACTTTAACATCCCACTTTCATCAATAGATAAATCAACCAGACAGAAAACCAAAAAACAAACAGAGCTAATGAAAACTATAGACCAAGTGGACCTAACCAATATCTACAGAACTTTTCACCCCACAGTGGCAGAATACACATTCTTCTCATCAGTTCTTGGAACTTTTCTCTAAGATAGACCATATACTTAGCCATAAAGCAAGTCTCATCAAATTTTTAAAAATTTTTAAAAAATCATACCATGATCTTCTCTGATCACAATGGATTGAAGATGGAAATCCACAACTCAAGACTCTGTAGAGCATATACAAACACATGGAGACTGAACAGCATATTCCTGAATGAGGAGT